TGTGCTCGCCCACGGGTGAGGGGGTGGTCTTCCCAGGCACCGAGGGCAGCAGCATTTGATAAAATGACGCTGGCAAGAGCCTGCCTTGCTTTCTTTTTTTTAACAGCCCCTGTTGCCATGTCCTGAGATAACAGCGCAGCGTGGCGAATGGCCAATGCTGCTAGCTCCTCTGGTGGGCACATGGCTGCTCCAGCTCGGATGCTCAGAGCTGTCGGCGCTTCCCATGGGACTGCGTGGGCAGGACATGGGACAGGGTTTAGTGGTGGGATGGCAGGGTTAGGGTAATGGTTGGGCTTGGGGATCTTAAAGGGCTTTTCCAACCCAAACGATTCTGTGATTCTATGACATCCTTTGCCAAACCGGCTGCCACCTCTTCCAATATCAATACGATACCAATACGATATCAATGGCTGCTCTCCTGACAGGGGTCTGCCTGACTTGGTTTCCTTGCTGGAGGATATTCGCCCCAGCTGCGGGGGTTGGTTTCTTGTTCAGTGCTCGGGCTATGGCGCCACCCCCCTTTCTCCCCATTTTAGCTCCTTAAGTGTATGTTGGGCTCCAGATTTGCCCTTTCCTGGTGCCTCTCACCATTGGTGACGGCCTGGTGGGGATGATGGGTCCTGACATTAGAGTTCAGACCCTCCATGGCCATTGGCTTCCAGAGGCAAACATACTGGCTTTTTTTGGCCTTGCTTTCCCATTTTCTGCCACTTTGCCTGAAATTGTGGGTTGCCATGCCTGCGCGAGCCTGGCCGGGGGCCTGGCCGGTGCTGCCATCCTCCCAGAGCTCCTGTGGGCTGAGGCACGGGATCTGGGGCTGAAGCTCCATTAACAGAGGGCAGCGCCCCGGGATGTCTGGCGTGGCTCTTCCCAGGATTATTATTTTTTTTAAAATTTTGCTTTATTTTGGCTCACACCAGGCTTTCTGTCAGCCTGTGCCACACTGCGTCCCAAACCCACGCCCTCACTGGCTGCCCGCTAAGCTCCTTCTGCTCTCATTGCTGCTCCTGGCTGCGGGATGCTGCAGGCTGCCATGGTGCTTCCCCCCCAACACCAAGCTCCCCGCATGCCTCATCCTCCCTGTGCTTGCCCTTCCAAGCTGTCAGAGTTATCGTTTCCCCAGCCTGCTCGTGGTAGCTCAGGGTGACTGTTGAAGTCTCGTCTTCTCGGTCCGTCCAGCCTCTTGTTTCTCCTAACGCTTGATGAAATCTATTAAAAAGGCCTGTGGTGGGTTTTTTCCCCCCCCCCTTCTTTTTTTCCATGGAATGCTGAGAAAGAAGAAACCACATGAATGTGTTGGTGTGAGGTCTGGAGGGAAATCCTAGAGGGTTGCTCTCCTGGCGCATGACGCTTTTTTGCTTGTCCTTACTGTTAGCGGCACAAGCCTGAAAGAAGCAGGCTTGGCATCGCAGCCGTGAGTCCGGCTGAGGATCAGTGATGTGTGAGAGCACCGGCTCCTAGGAGGAGAGGGGTTGGAGGCCAGCAGAGACTCTGGCTGCAATCAGCCTTGAGTCCACAGCTCACTGGGTGGGCACCCCCATCCTGGCTCTTGGCTGGGGCGGGCTTGTGCAGCCCCGTGCACCCCATCCGTGGGACGTCGCTCTTTGCATGAAGTGCCGTGACCTGTTTGGACAGATCCCACCTTGCGTGGGCTGGGTACTGCAGCCTGTGCTTCGGGAGAGCTCTGCTCAACGCCTGGTGCTCCCACTCCCCAGTGGTCGCTGTGGGGCTTCTGGGTGGCTCTGGCTGGAGTCAGCGATACACGGCCATGACAAAGATGCACGATGCAGATCCCCAGCTGCCTCTTTTCTTTTCTTTGCAGCTTGACAGGACAGAGACAGCTGTGAACAACCTCAACCCAGCTTTCGCCAAGAAGTTCATCATTGACTACCACTTTGAAGAAGTGCAGAAGCTCAAGTTCGCCCTGTTTGATCAGGACAAGTCAAGCATGCAGCTGTATGAGCACGACTTCCTGGGCGAGTTCTCCTGCACGCTGGGCATGGTGAGTCTCTAAGGTCCTGGCAGCTCGCTGTCCTCCAGCCAAGGGACCCCAGGTCACACCAGCCGCAACGATGCAGGGGGATTAGAGCTGCTTCTCTTATTTATTGTAAAGTTTGCTGGGCCCGTCCTGGCAAAACCAATTTAATTTGCTGGTCACACTTCAGCTGAATTGTTCCACACTGGAGCCGTTGGCTGCTTGCCGAAGTCTAAGCTAGTCATGGTGTGGGCTTCTGCTGGCTCCTGCAGAGAGACAGCAACTGGCAGCTTTTGGAGGTACCTGTATCTCACCAGGGATTGTAGTAAGAGCCCTGAGGGCCAGCTGGACTTGGACTTGGGATGTTTAAGGTCAGATGTTGCATTGCAGTCTACCTTTCTACCTCAGTTTTGGTTTTCTCTTCCCCCCCCGCCAAGCTTTATCCATTGCCATCGTGTAGCAAATAATCTCCCCTACTTTAGCGTGTTGGTGCAGGAATGTGTCTTCTGCTCTTCCTGTGGAAAAGCTTTCAGGACACAATGCGATTTATAAGCCTTTAGAAGGTCTTTGTGTTCATGAGACCAGACCCTGTTAGAAGTTGGCAGCTACATTCTCCAAATGCCTTTGTCCTCTGAGCTTGCTCTGACTCAAAGGCAAGGAACGAGGGGATTTTTTCCATTCTTTTGCAGCATCCATCTGCTCAGGGCTGCTGTGGTACCTGGCACCAGCACAGGGGCTAGGCAAAATGGTCCCTGTCGTGTTTGATGCTGGAAGGAAGGAGACACTGTGATAGGTGGGTCAGCAGGGACAGCCAGCCCAGGGTGTTTGGGGATGCTCCTGAGCTTTAGTACTCAGAGTGCTGCAGGGCACTGCGCACGGCAAGGGGGATGAGTGACCTGACTATTGCCAACTCAAGAGCTGGACGTGTTGGAAGAGCAGTGACATTTACGGGGTCTGACATGTAGCGTCTGGGTTTTTGGAAGTGCTCTGTGATGGCCGAGTTCTGCTCCTGGAGAAGTTCAGAGGCAGTGCAGGCGACGGCCCAGGCGTTCAGTGATTTAGACCAAACCCATCTTTTACTGTTAGTTCCATTGCTGAAACGCAGCCACCTCTGATGTGGGGCAGCTCAGCAATGCTCCGTGTGAAGGTCATGGTCTTGGCACAAAGCTGCAAGCACAGAATTTATGGATGTAAGGAAAAAGAGATGAAACCTTGCTGTTCTGAAACGTGGTGCTGCGGGAGGCCAGGGCTCTGCAGGCTCATGCTGGAGAGGAATGTTCTCTGTCTGCGCTGGGGGGAAAGGTGGATCCTCCTGCCTGTTGGAGCTCCAAGAAGAGCCCAACCCTTCCTGGTGCTTTGAAAGGTGATTTTCTCAGAACATGAGGCTGGACAGGCCATCCTGGGGCTGTGGTACTAGTGGTGACTGGGCAGCTGTTGGCAGGTCTTGTGTCCAAGGTGCTGGCTCAGAACAGTTGATGGTTGAGCCATGGTGGCTCATGGGCATGGCATAACTGTCTCCTGTGTCTTTAGGCACAACTGTGGGCTTGGTCGATTGGAAAAAAGAAAGCTCTCAACTTCTGTAATCTCATGCAAGTGTTTGCACTCTGCAGAAGAGAACTTGGCTTACGCATGTGCCCACCTTTTGATGAGTTTTCTCAGCCCTTCCTGTGTGAGCTTCTTGGCGACCTTTAGTCTGCAGCAAGGCACCAGCTTGGAATGGAGGGATCATCTCATTTTCCCCCTTTTTCCTGAAATTCTCTGTCAGCCTCCTCTCCGTGTGAGTTTGCTGACATCTGGATGGTGTCTGCTGAGATGCTTCCACAAGCCTGCCCAGTTCTGTGAGAAGGGAAGGGAAGGGGAGCAGCCGTGGGCAGCAACCACTGCACAGCGAGCATCTGACTTTTCAGTGTTGAGTTTGCATCCGCCAGATTAGCTGGATTATTTTATCGCAGCTAATTAGGTCTGTGGTAAGATTTAAAAGGGTGGCTGAATCATTCGCAGGCCTGTAATGACCTCTGCGGCCAAATTAAATGTAACGGGGACCAAACTGCAGGCTGGAGGGGGTCCATGGTTTCCACTAGCTGGGATTGCGAGGCGATTTTGCCTCCTTGTGCATGGCACGAGTGGCTGGTTGCACGAACTGGTAACTCCTACGCCTTTATGGATTGAAAGCACCAGGGCATGGGCCGGCTTGCTGCAATGGGAAAGGGGTTTGCCTCAAAATTACGAGAGCCATAGGAACACAGAATGTTTTGGGTTGGAAGGGACCTTTAGGGTCACCCAGCCCCACCCCTTGTAGGAACAGGGACACCTTTAACCAGATCAGGCTGCTCACAGCCCCGTCCAACTTGGCCTGGAATGTTTCCAGGGATGGGGCCTCTACCACCTCCCTGGGCAACCCGTTCCACCACCCTTGCTGTAAAAAATTTCTTCGTTAGTCTAAATCTCCCCACTTTTAGTTTAAAACCATCACCCCCTGTCCTATCGCAACAGGCCCTATTAAAAAGTCTGACCCCATCTTTCTTATCAGCCCCCTTTAAGCATTGTAAGGCCACAATCAGGTCTCCCCAGAGGGAGGAGAGCATTTCTGGGGAGTGATGGGATGAATCCAAGCGTGGCTGGGTCACATGGATCCCAGGAGCAACAAGTTAAGCCATTTCATTATGTGGGGTTTTTAGTTATTACTATTACTATTACTATTACTATTACTATTACTATTACTATTGCTATTACTATTATTATTATTATTATTTTCTGACTGTGTGATGTAGGACCGAAGGCAAGGGCAGAAGTATGGATAGGACTGCACTTCTTAAACTGCAACCCCTAGAGTTCGAAGGGGCCCCCAGCCAGTATGGGAGCAGAGCACAGCTACGTCCAGCAGGTTGCTGGACCCCCACGTGGGGGTTTGTGCCTCGTGGGGAAAACTTACAGGGTCTCCAGATCTGCAGGCGAATGCAGCTCAGTGAGCTGGGGAAAAAATCTCAGGGGGTTTAATTCAGCTCCCAGATGGTCCTGTCTGGCCCCTTACAAGCCAGAAGTGTGGGGGGACACATGCCTTTGGGGGTGCTGACCCCCATGCTTTGCTCGGCAGAATGGTGCTGGGGGGGAGCATGTAGTTCGTAATCAGGATTTGCCCACAAAAACATGGCCTGAGAGCAGGTTGCTGGCAGGGGTGAGGTTAGAAGTATTTAAAAATGGGGTTTGTGAGGTTGAGTTGTGATTTTGCTGGGAAGAAATCACGGTCCTTCAGCTGCATGGGGTCCCACTGACCTGCTCCACGCAAAGGGCTGCTCCCTGGGCTCCACAGCAGATGATGCTTCAGCCTCTTGGCATTGTAGAGTGGAAACATAGAATCGTTTTGGTTGAAAAAGACCTTTTGGATCATTGAGTCCAACCATTACCCCAACCTCTGGTGCCGTCACTGCTCTGCACCATTCAGCTGCTGTCCTGCTCCCCATGGAATTGGTGGCGGTGGTGACATTCGCCACATCACAGTCATCCCCACATATGAGGCTGTTCTTCTACCGTTGTGAATGCCTAATCTGAATTAACTGACAGGAGCAATGATCAGTTGCTTATGAGTCTGCTTTTGATCACTTGTACAATCATGATTTTATTTTCTTTGGCTTCTCTAGATCGTCTCCAGCAAGAAAATAACAAGGAGTCTCCTTCTGGGGAATGGCAAGCCGGCTGGCAAAGGGATGATAACGGTACGGTTACTACTTTACGTTACCTGCTGAGGGGATAATGACCTGGGAACGGTGCGGGGCACTCACCTGGGGTCCAGGAACCTTTTTTTCTTTGCCTCCCATTTTTCCTGCCCTCTTTGGTTTCTTTGGAGGAGGACTCGTTCTGGAGCAGGGACTGTCTGGCCTGGTACCCAGCACCATGAGTCTTCAACCTCTGCTTCGGTCTCTGAAACAAGGCAAATGTCCATCTCGGGAAGGACCAAGTGAATCCATGCTGCTGCCTTTTGGTATCTGACGCAATGCGGCTGCTCAGCCCTCCCTGGAGCTGGCGCCTTTGCGGACATGGGTGGTTCTGTTTGTAGGACAAGGATGGGAGCCATGTCGTGGGTCACAGGGGTTCTGTTTGTAGGACGGGGATGGGAGCCACGTTGTAGGTCACGGAGGATTCTGTTTGTAGGATGGGGATGGGAGCTGTGCCATAGGTCATGGGGGGTTGTGTTTGTAGGACGGGGATGGGAGCTGCGCCATAGGTCACGGGTGGTTTTGTTTGTAGGACGGGGATGGGAGCTGCGCTGTAGGTCACGGGGGATTCTCTTTGTAGGATGGGGATGGGAGCTGCGCTGTAGGTCACGGGGGTTCTGTTTGTAGGATGGGGATGGGAGCTGCGCTGTAGGTCACGGGGGTTCTGTTTGTAGGACGGGGATGGGAGCTGTGCTGTAGGTCACGGGGGTTCTGTTTGTAGGATGGGGATGGAAGCTGCGCCATAGCAACAACTGGCATGGCAACAGCTGCTGCTCCCGATGCAGACCCCTTAGGGCAGTGGCCTTCTCGCTGTGGATCTCCTTAGTGATGGGGTTTTTTTAAGAAGAGAAGGCTAAATTTAGGTGTATTTCCCTCCTGCCACATCTCCCATCCCTTTCGGGTCTCTTCTGCATTATGGGTTTTGCAAGATGCAGCAAGAAGTTAAACCTCCATCAGGTTTAAAAGCACTGGAAGGGTTTAAAAGCCCAGGACCCGGCTGCTGCAAGGGCATTTCCATCGTGTTTGCTCAGAGGCTGGGAAGATGCTGCCAGCTTTTCTCTCTTAATGCTGCAGTTGGTCTTTAAAGGCAAGAGGAAAAGCTGCAGTGCCTGATGCTGGGTGCCATCCCCAAGGCATGGGGTCCCGGCACCCTGTCCGATGCTGGAGTGGGAAGAGCTGGGCCAGGTGAAAAGTTTCCAGTCCAGTTCAAAGGTTCCACGCTTTAAAAAAAGGAAGGTCCCGATGATCTGTCACTAAGGCTTCATTAGAAATCAAAGGGTCTGAGGTGCCTGCTCCGTTTTGTACCATTGATGCCATGTCCTGATCTGGTTTTTTACCACCCTGGCTTGGTGATGGCAGCAGGGTCTGGTGTGGTGGACACCTGCCCTCACTGCCTGGCACGGCGCTGGAGCCGGGGCTACGGACACCAACTGAGGACCAGGCTTTGGGCTCACTGACATAAAACATGGAGTTTGGAGCCCAACCCTGCCTTCCTTGCCCCCATTCCCTTCGATTTTCCCCAAGTATCCTTTATCTTAACTGCGATGCCGGAGGGGTGGATGCCACATCTTGACTACATGGACAGGATGGTGTGGGGAAATCCCAGTGCAAGCCACTGTGGTTTATAGACACCAATCCTCAGGTCTTGCTGCACACCTCTGCCGGGCCCAGCGGTGGGGGCGCTGCTGCTGGCCATGCTGGCCAAGGGAAAATGCCCCCAGCAGCCTGCGGCAGCGGGGCACGAGGGCACAGCCGGCTTGTCTGCACTGCCTGGCTTTTACATAGCCTCCGGTGAGCCCTGAAATGCTGGGTGCCAACTGGGCCTGCTTTTGTGGGGATCAGCAAAGGGCAAATTTCATCCCCTTCCTGCAGCTCTTCTTCCTCACCCTGGGTTTGGTGACCATGCCTGCCTGCTGAGGACCAGGCGGGAGAGAAAACTGATGCCGTGGCTTTGCAAAAGGGAACTTCGGACATCACAGCTGTATGGGGCAGAGGGGAAAATTTGGGTTTGCATGCAGTGAACACATCCTCCGTGGGCCAAAAAGTGGTGGCCCCCATGGAAAGGCTAGGAGGTTGCTGGGGGGCTGCGGCTCATCCCCTCGCCAGGAGGATTCAAGAGCTGCATCTCTGCCTCCTCATTTCTGCAAACTCCCTGCTCTCCCAAGTGCCCAGAACCCTCTCGTTCTGCAGAGAATTGGTCCCTTGATTTCTGCAAGTTTTTCTGAAAGCCTTGCTGCAACTACGCTGCCTGTCTCCAGTGGAGGACAGGCTCCTCGGGTGAGCCAGCACCCAGCCGTGCTTGTCAGCACCCTGCACCAGGAAAATGCCTATGCTGTGTTCCTGGCCATGCTGGTGCCAGTGCCAGCACCTGCCAAGGAGGATGCTATGGCTGGGGGTGCCAGGGGATGGCTCAGCCCACCCTGGGGAGCAGAGGAGGGAGAGGTGGGGAGCAGATGCTTGGGCAGGATGCAGCCTGGAGGAAAAAAACACAAGTGATTCAGAAAAGGGCTGGTAACAGAAGTGAATAAATGTGGGGCTTTGGTTTTTGTTATAAACATTCCCTTTCTTAAAATACCAAGAGACTCATTAGACCACGTTCCAGACAAAACCAGCCCACTGGCGGTTGGCAGCCAAAGCCCTCCTGGGGAGTTTGTGCATAAAGTCCCTTAAACTGAAGCCATGGGGACTGCACTCCTGCCTGTGGGAGCTCCTCCAGAGCAGCCACGGAGCTTTCACCCTTGGGGCCATCTCCTCGGGTGGTCACACAGAGATGTGGCGTACATCCGTGGTGCCTCTGGCATCTCCTGCAAGGGACGGGGCAGCTGCTTTTTGCGGTGCCCAGCCTGGGACGTGGGGGATGAGGTGGCTTGTCTCACTGGCAAGGGTTTTTTCTGGATCCTGCTTCCCCTTGGCTTGGTCCTTGCAGGCTTCCCCATGGCACAGGGGAAGGAGGCTGCTCGGGGTGTCCTGGCACCTCATTTTCCCTTTGGGTCGTCCATGCAAGAGGCTTAATTGTACTGGTTGACTCCCAGCCCCGCAAATGAGCCTGCTTCGCGTGGGCCCAGGGGGTCAGTGGGGGTCAGGGGGGCTTTGGCTGCGGCCCTGGCATCGTAGCTGGTAGCCTGCTACAAAAACGTGTCCCATTTTGTTTAAGGCCAGCATGTCACTACCTTGGTGCGGGGCAAATGGCAGCGCCCATCTGCAGGAAGCTTGGGCTTTTCCTCCGTCCTTCTCCATTCCAGGGAGAAGCTGGGAAGGAGGCTAATCCCAAGCGGATCTGCAAAGGGAAAATCAGTTTAACTCCTCCGTAGCGAAATACTGCATGCGTTAGGGCACTTGGTCTCTCGGCTGGGAAATGGGTTGTGCAGGGGTTGTGCAGGTACCTCCAGAGCGGGCATCCCTGGGGGCTGGGGTCTCCTCTGGCCAGGCATTTGCTTTCTTTTCGTGCCAAAAATGAAGGCAGCCTTCCCTTCTCTTTCAGATAGCTGCCCAAGAGCTCTCGGATAACAGGGTGATTACACTGAGCATGGCCGGCAGAAAACTGGATAAAAAGGTGAGTGGGGCTATGTCTGGGGGGTGCAGTGTTACACTGCGGTCCTAGCAGGGGTCTAAAGAAATCTCTGCTTTTGGGTAGAGCAGGGACAGCAAAATAGTCCCCCAGGAGAAAGCACGAGGGTGAGGCTGGAGGGGTTCAAGTCCTGGCGCTGCCACCAGCTGCTGAGTACACCCATGCCTCAGTTTCCCTATGGTGACAGTATCGCTTTCTTCTTGTGGTGGAAAGCTCACACATGGCACAGGATCTGTGCTCTAGCATGTCTCAAAGGCAGCAGATTCACTGCTCCAGTGGCTGACATTCGGAAACATCTCCTGACAGCACTGGCAGCTTTGACGTCCCTTGAAGCTGTGTCTTGGACGTGCTGAGCGCTCCTGGCTGGCTGCCTCCAGCCCCTCTGGAAATGCAGTGAACGTCTGCATCAAACAGTAGGGCCCCTCTGAAGCGTTGACCTCGTGGAGGCAGGTAATGCACCAGTTTTGCTTTGGGTGTGATACAAAGTGTGAGCCTTTCTGAACAAAGCCGTCAGCCCTTATTTACCCGGCAGCCAGAGCTATTCCTCCTAAACCAGCGCTGTTGCTAAGCGATCAATGGGAATATTATTTTTTCCTTCTTCCTACTCTCTCTGGGGCTTGCGTTATTGGCAGGATGGCCCTCGGTTTTCACACCAGAGCAAAGCAAATCCAGGAGGAATGGCATTTGCTGGGGCAGATGACGTGTTTTGTTCTGTCCCGTTGTCCAGAGCAGGTGGATGCCTGGTTTATCCAAGTGTTTTTCCCACCTCTTGGGAATCATAGAAACATGGAATGGTTTGAGTTGGAAGGGACCTTTAGAGGTCATCCAGCCCAACCCCCTGTAGGAGCAGGGACACCTTTAACCAGACCAGGTTGCTCACAACCCCATCCAACCTGGCCTTGGATGTGTCGAGGGATGGGGCCTCCACCACCTCCCTGGGCAACCCGTGCCAGGGTTTTTCTCGCCTTCCTGCTTATCCTGCCTACTGCAAGGAGCCAAATGCCCCTGTTAAGAAATACCCAAATAACTCCATTTCAGAGATGGGCTCGAAGATGCCCTTGAGCTGGTGGCTTCCTCTGAGACGTGGCCGAGGGTCAACCCCATGCATGGCAACGAAGACATCCCTCATGCAACAGTTTTCCTCCAGCGCCCCAAGAAAAAGCCTCCGCTCCCTTGCAAAGCAAGGGATAGGATTTCACAGCAGGCTCAGTGCTTCTGTCTGTCCCTTTGCAGCCGTGGCCATAGCAGGGCCAAGGACCCAGGTCCTCCCTGCAGTCTGTACATCTGCTTGTTGCATCAGCGCCATCACTTGCTCCGTGGGCAGCTCCGTGAGTTGTCTTTCTGGTCTGGTTTGCAACTGAGTTCCTCCTCCAGGTTGTGCAAAGGTGGCATCTTTTGATACTCTGCCACTGGGACATGATACCCCTGGGTCTGCTGCCCTTCAGACCCACCGCCGAGGTACGGCAATTCAGCACCTACCTGGCTACACTGGGGTAAGGACCATGAGGAGTCCAAAGCTTTCTGGGTCTCCCTCCAGTTTATCGATAGGTGTCAGCACTACCGCCTGCTGCCACCGAGAGCTAACGAGGTTTCCTTGCTGATTCCCATAACATGGCTCAGTGTTGCGGTGCTCAAAGCCCAGCTCATAGGCAGAGGATGTTCACAGCACTTCGAGCAAATCAGACTGGTCCCTGAGCGTGGAGACTAGATGAAACACAGTGTTTTGGGGTCATAATTGCTGATGGGTGACATGCAACTGTGGGAGCTGGGAAAAAGAAGTGGTTAAGCAAAAAACCCGCGGAGGTAAGGCTGCAGCCTGGGGGGGTAACACCCAGCTGGGGGGCACGGCCAGAGGCTTGGGCATCATGCAAAGGGATCAGATCTCATGGGATTTCATGGTGGGGCCATGGGAACATCTTGCACACACTGAGCTGTAGATGGAACCATCCCTTACTGGCAGCTGTGGCGCAAACCCACCCTGGAGCCATGCTCAGCCCCAGGCAGCCCCTTTTTGATAGAGCGCACCCTCAGCCAGTTTGCAGATGACACCGAGCTCGGCAGGAGGGTGGATCTGCTGGAGGGGAGGGGGGCTCTGCAGAGGGACCTGGCCAGGCTGGATCCATGGACCCAGGCCAATGGTGTGAGGTTCAACAAGGCCAAGGGCCAGGTCCTGCCCTGGGGTCAAAACAACCTCACTCAACGTTACAGGCATGGAGAAAAGGGGCTGGGAAGCTGCCCAGCAGAAAAGGACCTGGGGGTGTTGGCCGACAGGCATCTGAATATGAGCCAGCAGTGTGCCCAGGTGGCCAAGAGGGCCAGCAGCATCCTGGCTTGTATCAGGACTGGTGTGGCCAGCAGGAGCAGGGCAGTGACCGTGCCCCTGTGCTGGGCACTGGTGAGGCCGCCCCTGGAATGCTG